AAGGTGGCCACTTTAAAAGAAAATAAAAGCAGGATGAACAGACAAGTCACAAAACTGATTCTTTACAGGAAACAGAAGCAGCAGCTGGAGCTGAGTCCCAATTGCAACAGCTGGGCAGTGAGTGAGTGTTGCTAGAAGGGGTGGTTGTCCACACCAGCATAGTGAAAGTAACCACCCAGCTCTTCCCGAGGGGAGAGAGATGGCCCAGGGGTGTCGTATTCTCTCTCCTTCTTAAGTGACCAGCTTGGTTTTAAAGGATGCTTGATGTTGGCATCCAGCGCTTTGGTCTTCCAGATGCCTCCAGACTGGGCACAGGGTTGGGGTCTGCCTCCGTGTGGTCCTGGAGCCTGGCCAAGTGCCCAGGCTGCAGGGAGGGGCTGGCCCACCTGGATCAGCTACCAGAACCTGTCGCTACAGAGTTTCCACCGGAGGGAGGGAGCAGCTCTTCAGCCCGGCCCAGGGACCCCCACAGGCCAGCGTGGCACTTTTGAGGACATCTTGCTTTCCATTAATTCGCCATTTAACCAGATACTAAGAAAGCAAGCCGTGCTAAACTCTGGTTTGTTTTACTGTAACGTCGTGATCTGCTCCTGATTCTTGTTTCCCTTGTTTCTAAGGCCAGTGGGATTGTCTGTTCTTGGGCCTGTTCAAAACCAAACTCTTGACCCCCACCCAGTTAACTCTTGTTGGAGATCCAGGGTCATCCTCGCTACCTCTCACTCCTCCACATCTAGTCAGTCATTGAGCCTTAGTGATTCTCCCTGGAATATGTGCCCTGCATCTGCTGGCTTCCTTCCTCTCCTCTTCAGCCAGCCAGGGCTGCAGGACCACCCCGAGCGCATCGTGCTCAATGCAGGCAGAGCTTGGGTGCTGCAGTTTCCGTAAACCGTGTAATCTGAGGCTCCTCCCTGCCGGCCAGCCTTCCTCCCGGAGAAATGTTTCCGTAACTGTAAGGGAAGCCTGGGAGCATGTTGTAGTCTCAAAGAGGAGATCAAATCAATAAGAGACAGACTCGTTTTGTTGGTAGTTTCAGACTCTCCAGCAGCCTAGGAAGTGGGAGCATGTGCAGGTGTGTGGGCGCTGTGGGCAAGTGCTCCGGAAGAGCCCCTGCAGTGGGAACAGAACGAACAGAGCCGACTTGGGTTAGGGGCAGGGCTGCTTGTGCTGCCATCTGTGTTCTGGGGGAGTCCCTGAGGCCACCCCAGCCTGCTGCCTGCATGGCAGTGTGCGGACACGAGAGCTGCTCCGTTCTCAGCTTGAATAGGGCATGTCTGGGCGTGTGGTTCTGGACTTTTCCTATGTGAGCTTATTAGGAAGCAGGTTCCTCAGCACCCACTGGGAACCCGTCCTCCAAAAGAAACAGATTAATTTTTTTTTAATTGGATAAATTTGACAAGTAACATTGTGTAAATTTAAGGTGCACATCGTGTTACTTTGATACATTTATATATTGTAATATGGTTGCCATTGTGACGATATTTATCACATTACATACTTTACAATATTATTGTCTATGTTCAGTAAGCTGTACATTAAATCTCTATGGCCGTTTTAGTTTTTGTTACAAGTTTGTCCCCTTAAACACCACCAGTCTTATCCCCCCAACCCTATCCCCTGGTAACCACTGTTTTACTGTCTTTTTTTACCATGTTTGATTTTTTTTTTTTTTTTTTTTTTTTTTTCCACATATAAGTGATATCATACAGTACTTATCTTTGTCTGACATCTCATTTAGCATAATGCCCTCAAGGTCCATCCATGTTGTCACAAATGGCAGGTTGGCCCCCTTTCTCTTGGCTGAGTAATATTCCATTGTCTATACAGCACAGCTTTTTTATCCATTCGTCTGTTGATGGGCATTTGAGTTGTTTCCATATCTTGGCTGTTGTGAATAATGCTGCAATAAACGTGGGGGTGTGTATATCTCATCGAATTCCTTTTTTCATTTCCTTTGGGTATATTCCCAGAAGTGGAATTGCTGGATCGTGTGGTAGGTCTGTTTGTAATTTTTTGAGGAACCTCAGATTGTTTTCCATAGTGGTTGAACCAATTTATATTCACACCCACAGTGTATAAGGGTTCCCTCTTCACCACATCCTTGCCAACATTTATCTCTTGTCTTTTTGATGATACCCATTCTAATAGGTGTGAGGTGATATCTCACTGTGGTTTTGATTTGTTTTTTTTTTTTTTTGAGGAAGATCAGCCCTGAGCTAACATCCATGCTAATCCTCCTCTTTTTGCTGAGGAAGACTGGCTCTGAGCTAACATCTATTGCCAATCCTCCTCCTTTTTTTTTTCCTTCCCCAAAGCCCCAGTAGATAGTCGTATGTCATAGCTGCACATCCTTCTAGTTGCTGTATGTGGGACGCGGCCTCAGCATGGCCAGAGAAGCGGTGCATCGGTCCGAACCCGGGCTGCCAGTAGCGGAGCGCGCACACTGAACGGCTAAGCCATGGGGCCGGCCCTGCCTTTCCATTTTGTTCTTTGTTTCTTTTTTGTTTTTTTTTTTTAAAGATTTTATTTATTTTTTTTCCCCCAAAGCCCCAGTAGATAGTTGTATGTTGCAGTTGCACGTCCCTCTAGTTGCTGCATGTGGGACGTGGCCTCAGCATGGCCGGAGAAGCGGTGCGTTGGTGCGCGCCCGGGATCCGAACCCGGGCCGCCAGTAGCGGAGCACGCGCACTCAACGGCCAAGCCACGGGGCCGCCCCTGCCTTTCCATTTTGTTCTTTGTTTCTTTTGCTGTGCAGAAGCTTTTGAGTTTAATGTAGTCCCATTTGTTGATTTTTGCTTTTGTTTTTTGTGCTTTTGGCGTCATGTCAAAAATACCTTTGCTAAGACCAGTATCAGTGAGCTTCTTCCCTATGTCTTCTAGGAGTTTTATGATATCAGGTCTATGTTTAAGTCTTTGATCCATTTTGAGTTAGGTTTTGTGAGCGGTGTGAGATAGGGGTCCGATTGCATTGTTTTGCGGGTGTTTCTCCGTTTTCCCAGCGCCAGTTGTTGAAGAGACTATCCTTTCTCCATTGGGTGTTCTTGGCTACCTTGTCGAATATTAGTTGATCATAGAGACAGATTGAAATTAAAGTAAATGCTGGGAGTACTTGCGTGGGCGATTCCAGACTGTCGCGGTTTATTTTAAATTTGGCTGAATTGCATTAGCTCGGTCTGTACCAGAGGTTCCCAGACTTGGCACTGTTGGCGTTTGGGGTGGGATTATTCTTTGCTTTGGTGGCTGTCTTATGCATTACAGGATGTTGAGCAGCATCCCAGGCCTCTAGCTGCTATCTACCAGTCATGGCCCCCAGCTGTGACAACCAAAATGTCTCCAGACAGTGCCCGATGTCCCCTGGGGGCAGAGTTACCTCTACCTGAGAATCACTGTTCTACACCCTGGGACACTACTGTGCAGCCCCTTGGCCTGTGCTTGTGTACGGCTCGGCTCCCAACTGCAGGGTTGGACTGGCAGGCAGAGGGGCTCAGATCCTGGCCAAGCCCCCCGGGGCCCGGGAATCTGCATTTCAGCCAGTTCCGGGTGTTTTCTACTGTGCCCGTCTTTGGGAACTGCTGACCTAGACTGTACATGTCAAGTCCTGTCCTCTAGGATCAGCCTTCTTTCCTGAATGCACTCTGGGACTTTTGACCCATAATGCTAACACAGACCGTGACACGGGATCCTGGTTTTGTAAATCCACAGGCTGCACAAGGAAGTGACCTTAGACCAGGGTTGGCAAACTTTCTGTGAAGGGCTAGAGGATAAATATTTCAGGGTCTGTAGGCCATAGGGTCTGTGCTCCAACTGCTTTTCCCCTCCTTGAGTGGGAAAGCAGCCACAGCCTGTGTGGACGTGAGTGGGTGAGTCTCTTTTCCAGTCGAAGTTTCTTTACAGAAACAGGAGGCGGGCTGTGGACAATGGCAGTTTCTCAAAAGGTTAAACAGAACTACCACATGGCCCAGCAATTGTACTCTTAGGTATATATATTCCAAAGAATTGAAAGCAGGGACTTGAACAGATACTCGTACACCTGTGTGTACAAATGTACAGCATTAGTCACGATAGCCAAAAGGTAGAAACAACCCAAGTGTCCATCAGCAGATGAATGGATAAACAAAATGTGGTATATCCATACAATGGAATATTATGCAGCCATGAAAAGGAATGAAATTTTGATATATGCCACAGCATGGGTGAACCTTAAACACATCATGCTAAGGCACATTCATAGAGACAGAAAATAGAAGAGAGGTTACAAGGGGCTGGGAGGAAGGCGTGACTGTTGAAAGAGTACAGAGTTTTTGTTGGAGGTGATGAAAAAGTGTTGGGTGTAGGTAGTGGTGGTGGTTGCACGACATTGTGAATGGTCATAATGCTTTTGACACTTACGAATGGTTCAAATGAGAAATAGTATATTACATGTATTTTGCTACAATAAAAAAATGGTTTAAAAAAAATGTGTCTCTCGGGCAGTAGTCTGCAGACCCCAGCTTTAGACTAATGTTCCATTAATTTAAATATGGGGTTGACTTCAGGAATAATTGGGCCAGCTAGAGTGTTGGGCTTAACAAAGAAGGTGAGTTGGGTTCTTCGGATGAATAATTTGTTCCGACTTTTAGGCAAACCTGCACTTCTCTTCCCTCAACCCAAAAGAAGGGGTTGTCAGCGTGAACCTCCTCCCTCTGAGGCCCCCGAGCTTGCACCGGTCCAGTGCTACCTATGGGTTTTCAGATAATCATTAGAGTTTCTCTCCTCCTCCCTAATGATAACCCCACGATGCATAGATGTGTTGGAATAGCTGTGAGACTGAAGACTTTAGAAGGCCCAGAATTTGATTATGTGACATTAAAGTGAGCTCCGTGTGTATGTGCACTTGCACATAAGTGTGTGTGCATTTTAGTCATTTTCTCAGCCGTGTGGAGCTGGTTGTCCCGTGGCCACGGTGCTCTGTGTTGGTGGCCAGGTGACCGCTGCGTGTTCCTCATGTCTTTGAACTTTTCCAGGGAGCGCATGGAGCTTCTGGAAGAAGCCAAGAAGATGGAGATGGCCAAGTTTCGTTATATTCTGCCCGTGTATGGCATCTGCCAGGACCCCGTCGGCCTGGTCATGGAGTACATGGAGACGGGCTCCCTGGAGAAGCTGCTGGCCTCCGAACCGCTGCCGTGGGATCTGCGCTTCCGCATCATCCACGAGACCGCGGTGGGCATGAACTTCCTGCACTGCATGGCCCCACCACTCCTCCACCTGGACCTCAAGCCAGCAAACATCCTGCTGGACGCCCACTACCATGTCAAGGTGGGCACTCGGACGGCGCCCCGTGTGGGGACCGGGCGGCCGGAGTGGGTGGGCAGAGGAATGTGGTGTTGAAGGATAGAACCTTAAGGTCGTTTGAGGGTGCAGGAGGAGAAGGTTCCTCTTGTGAGAAGAGCTTGAAGCAGAGGCCTCTCTCAGCACAAGAACCCCAGGAATCCCCAGTCTTGTGCTTGGTATAAACGCCACAAAATGTGCAGCTGGAAAATGGACCCTTATGAACACGGGTTACTCCCAGGTGTGGCCACCTGGAATTGGCAGTTATTGATGTTGCCAGGTAGTATTTCTTTGAATATGTCTCTCCTTTGGAAGGCCTTCGTGTTAGGGTTGTCCTGTCGTCCACACTGTGGGGGACACATGGCATGGGTTTTTCCCGTGTCGTGATGTTCACACGCTCAGGAGGCCCAGGGTTCTGTGCTGGCCCACGGGATTCAGTGCCTCGGCCCTTTCCCTTCCACTCAGGAAAGCACATCGGCCCGTGCGTGAGCAAAGGACCCAAGAGCCATGGCCCGAACCCCTCCCGGTTGCAGGGGACCAGGTGAAGGGGCTCGCCTGCTGCTCTGATGCTGTGCTATTCCAGGCTGCACAGGACCCTTCCCTGTTGGCCTGAGGAGCAGGAGGGGCCTGCATTCAGCCCGGCTCTGCCCCTGGCTCTCTCTGGGCCACAGTTTCCTGACCTGGGAAAGGAGGGGTGGGAACCTCGGGCATGCACACAGCTGCTCCCTGTGCCCAGACTTTGCAACAGACACAGCACTGCCTGCTGAGCCAGCCTGGGGCCAGTAGGGCAATGGATTTTCACATTGGACGGTCATTATAAGTGGTTACTCAGTAAAGAGATTTTAGCACAAGACGGAAGTGCCCTCCTGCTCTAGTGAGGCAGAACCGAGGGAAGGCAGACATGGTCGAGTGGTTTGGTTTGAATCGGCGCTGCGGTGGTCCCCAGTCTGTACTGGAGCTCTCGGATTCTAGGAGTCCTGGTTCCTACTGGTTGGTGGTCCTGGCTTCACACATGGACCCTCTACCCCCACTAACGTCACAGAGTTGTCACCAGGAGTGTGTGGTCCCACAGGCACAAGTGAAGTGAAACTTTTGATCTCAAACTTGAATACATGTGAGAAAGGGGGGATAATGATGGGTCCCTGCTGTGTGCCAGAGGCCCCCCGAGTTCAGGAGCTACCCGATCTGCAAAGTGAGGTTCCAGAGGCAGGGGCCTGTGGCTCCTGCTGAGCCAAGGCTCAGAGGGTTCAATCACAGGCCGGTGTCACCCAGCTATGGGTCATCGAGCAGAGATTAGAACTGGGTCTGTAGCTCCGGAGCCATCTGACCCGCTGCCATATATGAGATGCTCACAAATGTCACAAACGTCGTGTGGCACATGGTGTCACATGAGGGTGCAGAGGGTAGCAGGTGGTAGGTGTCCAGGCAGCCCCTTGGGGTGGGGGTGTTGCTGGATGGGACTGGGTCTTCAGAGAAGGACCAGGCTTTCCTGCCCTCAGGCATGGGGGTGCAGGCAGGAGAAGAGCCTTTAGGCCAAGAAAAGTCATGGGAAATTCTGGGTTTTGGCAGGCGGGGAAGCAGAAGGCATAGTTGGCTTAAGATGGAGGGTGAGTGTAGACCTTCCCCTCGTCTTGAAGGATGCTGAACTGCTGTTCGGAATGTGCTTTTCTTAGGAGGCCGCGGTTGGATACTCACCAGGTCCTCGGACAGGTGTGTCTGCAGCCACGTCCCTTTCGTGTCTCTCCAGAGGCACAGACGGTGGTTGACCTGGCTGGGATTTTATCCCAGCTCATTCCCTTTCGCTCTCCCTGCCGCACTCCTCACGGGTCAGGTGACATGTTTGTGGGGGGCATATGGGTCCCTGAGAGGACCACAGTGACATCTTCTCAGTGTCCTCGGGAGCACGGCCGCCTCCCTGCTCTGTCACCCAGCGGGTACAGATAATCCCTCTCTGTCATTGTGAGGGGTCGTGACGAGAAGGTGCCTGTTAGGCCTGTTAGCTCAGTGCCTGCCTGGGGAAGAGCTGAGTGAGGGTTGGTGCCATTGGTATTGGAATTTTGGGGGCTGGTAGATAGTCGTCTTTTCCATGCTGGGGATGTTGGCCTTCATCTGGGGATCGTCCCTGGTGCTGGGTCCACAGTAGGTGCTTAATACTTGCTCAGTGAGGAAATGGGTGCTGTTCTCTGTCTGACACACGGGTGGCTTGGGGTCCTTGTCAGTCATTTCTGCATTGGCTCTTGAGGCTCCTCAGCTGGAATACTTTTCTCCTCTCCTTATAAACACCTGACTTGGCATGCCTGGTGCGTTGGAGCAGTTTTAGTAAATGGAGGAGGATTCCTTAGGGAGCCGAGCTGCCCCTTCGTAAGGAGCCTAGGAGGCTGAGAAGGGTACGGAGCAAAGCCTGCGTGGACCAGTCTCTGCAGACAGGAAGCAGAGTGATGACCGGGCAGAGGCAGACGCCGGCCGGGGAATGGCAGCTTTGTGTGACTCCCCTCTGAATCAGGCCAGGTCGTCACCACCGCACAGCCCTGAACAAACAGAATAAGTGTTTACATAACAAGCTTCTTCCTTCTCGGGAGTAGCTGATTGGGGTGGGGGTGGCGGGGGCCTTGTTGGAAGTTCCAGGTCAGGGGCAGCTCCGTGTTGATTCATTGGCCACCAGATTTCTGGGCGATTATTTGAAGCAATAAAACTTTAATCTGGATTCTTGAAATAAGTTCATAAGTTGTCGGTCCACCCCCTTCCCTTGTGCCCCTCAAGACTACCTTTCTGTCCATAGACAGGATGATTGGAACAGAAAATTCCACGGCAACCTCCTACTTTGCAAAGTGTATTAAAGATGCTTCATATTCCGTTGATACTTGATATGAGTATTAAATATATGAAATATCAATATTGAGATATTAATTTGCATGTAATGGTAGTAAACCCATTTCAAGTTGAAAAGGAAATAAGTTGACTTAAAATCTCAGGCTACTTCTGGCCCTGTTTGCCTAGACCAGACTATGTTCAGAGGGATGCTGAGGGTCCTGTTCTCCTGTAGTCTGCAACAGCCTTTGTCTCTAGGGCAGCACAGCCCTGACTGTGCCCCTCGTTAGTCTCATCCAGCTGGACCCAGCAGGTGACGGGCCCACGTCTTGGGGGCACCTGTGAGCACTGAACTGTGGGCAGTACTGAGGTGCACGCTAACTAGGAAAGTACATTTGTAAATTATAGGGCGTTTGCTGTTCCCAGGGATTGCGCAGTGTCCTACTGAGGAAGCACGGGGCGGACGAGGCGGGCCCTGGGCAGGACAGGTGAGAAAGTGTGGAACAGAAATCCTGCAGGGCAGAGGGTCAGTGGCTGTCAAGAGAATTCTGATTTCTGAGTTTGCATTTTGATGCCAGAGCTGTTACATAGAATGTGTGTAGAATTACACAGAATTACTTTCTTTTACCAAATATATTTTGAAGTGGCTGGCTGTATCTGAAAATGGCAGAAATGAAGAGAAAAGGCTGCCGACAAGGGGGAGTACTGGGTACCAGGATCCCTGCTTCCCCATCCATCTTCATTTCTGAATTTAAAATGTTCAAGTGGCTGAGGGTTTTGAGCTGAAGCTTTCCTGCTCATCAACTTCATTTGAGATTCCCCAGCCTCGAGCTGCTTTATGCATCTGCAGGCTCAGGGTGATGTGTTTATTCTGGGGAGCTGGCGCTGTTCCTTCCAGAGGGAGGAGTTTCTTGAAGGCCAGAAAAGGGACAGCTGCCAGGGGCCCAGAAATGTCCAGGCTGGCTTCACTCACATGGACCCATGCCCGTCAGAAATGGAGGGCTGGGTCCAGTCTGGCAGGCTGTCTTTCCATCACCTCCCCGCAGATGTGGTCAGAGAACTTTTGAAGGACTGAGTCTCCAGTCATAAGTTCTCCCCACGTTCAGTGGTGGTGACCCCAGGCCGTTGGCTCACCCGTGGGCACTGAGAGCCCAGAATTAAGGGCCTGACTCAGCCACATTTCCTATCACTCCAGAGATGTGTTTGAGGAGGAGCCCCGGAGTTAATTAGAAGGCTTAAAAAGTCCATAAGCCTCACAGGAGAATAAAAAGGGGCCGTTTTCCACGTGGATCCTGAGTCCCTTAATGCCAGTGAGCGTGGCCCAATCCCATAGCGAGTGCTTCAGCAGCTCGCTGGGGGGGTCTGATTCACACCAGGGGGTGCGGAGCTAGGGGGAAGGCTGGCACCCCACAGGGCGCCCGGGATGGCTTACTTCCCCCATCATGGGTTTTCCACGAGTTTTCAGGACACCGTTGCCCAGAGGAGCTGAGGAGGCGGAGGAGTGGGTCTGAGCAGCTGGGCCCAGGTGCTCCTCGGGTGGTGGGCCTGCAGATGGAGGGGGTGTGTGTTTGGTGAAGGAGCCAGCCAATGCCTGTGGATCCCAAAACGTTGCAAGTGGAGCACGAGGTTGTGCGGCATGCATTTTGCTTGCTTTGAAGGGCTTCTGAGGATGCATTTCCCTGTAGGGAGCCTGCTGCCACTTGCCTGCCTCCCCAGCTGGGGCAGTTGCATAACTGCGCTGCCCTAGCACCCGGCTTCTCACGTGTCATCTGAAAACTCTAAAGGTTGCTTTTTCCCTTTGTGCCGACTTAGGCTGTCAACCACCACGGCAGACATAATGCCTGGCAGAAGTAGGATTATGTTTCTTCTTGAGTTCTCTCCCTCCAGCGAATTCCTTCCTGAGATCGTAATCTTTTCCCCATCCAGCAAGCTCCTGATGGCTCAGACTGGGTTCTTCCTAAGCCGGCTGCGCCTGCCCGCCCGGGGCAGCACAGGGGATGGCTCTCAGGTCCTGATTCCTGACTGTGCCTGTACAGCGGTGTGGGGACCGCACCATCCGACATTGCAGAGGGGAGATGTTAATAAAGCGTCTAAAATAGCGGCTTACGGTGCGTCGCTCGGCGAGGCACCCGCAAAGCCGGCTGAGCCTCCTTCTGACCACTGTGTTACAGATTTCCGATTTTGGGTTGGCCAAGTGCAATGGGCTGTCCCACTCGCACGACCTCAGCATGGACGGCCTTTTTGGCACCATTGCCTACCTCCCTCCAGAGCGCATCCGAGAGAAGAGCCGGCTCTTTGACACCAAGCACGATGTGTACAGGTGGGTGACAGGTGTGCTGCCCCCGGGCCCCTGGGTGCCAGGCCCCACAGGGGCTTGTGCCTCGATTCTTCATGCTCTGAACGGCGGTTCTCCCAGAGGCTCCTTGGTGCCATCTGATTTGGGGTTCAGTCCAGATGAAAGAGTTTGGGGTTTTGAGCCAGTGGGGACAGGCCACCCCAGGTAGATAACAGACAGTTGTCTCCTGTGGGTGCTGCTGCCCGAGGGTGCAGAATGTGAATGGTTGGTGCCAGTTAGAGCCAGGTAAGTAACCAGACTGGCTGCTCCCGCACTGTAAAAGCTCTGGTGTTTTTATGAAACGTGGGCTTTGTAGCTTGTCTGCTGAGAACCGCTGCTTTCAGTGTGTCTATATGCACGTGGATTCGGGCTCTCCAAAATCTAGTCCCCTCTGGGCCAGCAGCTTATACTTCCTGCTGTCACTTACCTTTGACAGAGGAGTGCAGACACGCTAGGGACTGTTCACAGACCAGCGTCAGTGGGATTTATGTCCTAGAGAATAATCCGCGAGTCATCCGGTGCCTTCCTTTTCCAAATTGTAAAGGTCTTAATCACTCCGACTCCTTGGAGAAGAAAAGAGGGAGGGAGTGGGCGGGCGGGGCCTGAGCCCCTCATTGTGGTTCTCGTCTACACGTGGTGACTGTGACCCTGAGCACTGGAGCTCTGCTTCCTTGTCATCGCAGAGTCCCAGCAGACTGGTTTGACAGTAACCATTGTGCGTGTGCTTAGCTGAAGGCTTTGAGCTGTATGTCTGCTGGGGAATGGCACTTCGGGTGCCAGTCACAGCTTGTCGAGTTTGGGGACAATAAGAGTCTCTATTTATTTTAGAGTTGAGAGTTTCAACTTTTGAACTCACAGATTTCAATTTTCAGTGGAGAGTTCTTGCGTCTCTATAGGCAGCCAATGTCAACTCCGCACAGGGTGGTGGCTCAACGTGCGCACTCCTGGTTTTGTTTTTTCAAAAAATTTATCAGATTGAGCTCTTTTTTGGTGTATCTACAGTAATTTTATATTTTGCGTATATATATGTGTGTGTGATTTCCAACAACCAAAAAAGGGTTTTGGGAAGTTCGGCTGGATTGCCTCCTCGTTTTTCCATGCACTCTCTTCAACAGCCCTCTGATGAAATCTCCCTGAGCAGGTTGCTCGCAACGCCCAGAGCTGGAGTCAGCATTTTGAGGCCCCGTGCTTGCGAAAAGATGGTGATGAATCCAGCAGACATGGGCATTCTCCGCTCAAGCTGATGGCCCAGTCACAGTGGCATTCCTTCCGGGGGATCCCTCGTGCTGTTGGGACTTACAGCTCAGCTGACAGGGTTTTGTCTGTTGTTTAGGATTTCAGCTGTCAACATAGTGTGACCCATCATAAGAGTGTTTCCCACTGAAAAACTTCATGAAAATATTTTGGTGTTCTCTCTCTCTCTCTCGAAGACTCTGGAGTGGTTTTCTTCAAGCTTGTGGCTGAGCGTGAGAGCCTTTGACTGTATGCGAGGGTCCGGCTCATAGATGCTAACATGCCCCCTTTCCTTCCAGCTTCGCCATCGTGATGTGGGGCGTGCTTACCCAGAAGAAGCCGTTTGCAGGTGAGTGGCCTTGGCTGTGGGGGGTGGTAGTCCAGCTCTCCTGGAGCAGCGGAGGACTCTCTCTGTTTAGCTGGTGCTCCCCCGGTGGGGGCTGCTCTGTCCTGCCCAGGAGGTCCACATGGAGACCCATGCCCACCTCCTAGTGGGTTTTTCTAGGTGCTGTCAAAGCGCTCTTGTGGTGTGGTTCCCATACAGGAAAAGGCACAGATCTGCAGGGGTCTGTTCAGTGGATTTTTTTTTAGGTGCCAGCTAATTCTTGTGTGTGTGTGATACAGTACACATCACATAAAATTTATCATTTTAGCCATTTAAAGTGTACAATTCAGCAGCTTTAAGTACAGTCAGTGTTGTACAGTCATCACCACTATCTAGTTCCAGAACATTCTCATCACCCCCAGAAGGAAACCCCACGCCCATTAAGCAGTCACTCCCTCTTCCACCACCTGTAGCTCCTGACAACACTAATCTGCTTTTTGTCTCTGTGGATTTGCCCATTGTGATTATTTCCAGCTAGTTCTTTTTTTTTTTTATTTTTTTTATTTTTCATTTTTATTTTTTTTTGTGAGGAAGATCAGCCCTGAGCTAACATCCATGCTAATCCTCCTCTTTTTGCTGAGGAAGACTGGCTCTGAGCTAACATCTATTGCCAATCCTCCTCCTTTTTTTTTCCCCCAAAGCCCCAGTAGATAGTTGTATGTCATAGTTGCACATCCTTCTAGTTGCTGTATGTGGGACGCGGCCTCAGCATGGCCAGAGAAGCGATGCATCGGTGCGCGTCCAGATCCGAACCCGGGCCGCCAGTAGTGGAGCGCGCACACTTAACCGCTAAGCCACAGGGCCGGCCCAGCTAGTGCTTTCTTTATTTTTAATTTTCTAACATTTAATTGTGGTAAAATACACATAACATAAAATTTACCATTGTCACCATTTTTAAATGTACAGTTGTGTGAAGTACATTTACATGGTTGGGCACCCAGTCTCCAGAATCGCTGAGTGGATTTTGACACAAATGGGTGCACACAGGTCACCACCACCCGGCTTGAGCCCTGTTGCATTTCCTTCCCCCCTTCCGGGCAACCACTATTCTGATTTCTGTCCTCAAAGTTTTAGTACCTTGACTTGGTTTATTGTAAAAGTCAACTACTTTTTCGCTTCATTGGAGAAAGTCTCTTTTCCTCTACAGGCATATCGGGGCTACTCACGATATTTTGTGGTTTAGCCAAAAATATCAAAAAATGCGGATCAGAGTCAATGCCTGGCCCCCAGGTCTGGGTGTCCCTTGCTGGTTGAGGTGCAGGCCAGGAGCTGGTGTAGGGTTGTGTCTATACTGTCTGTGTACCCATTCCCTGTCTCCCTAACTACCCCTCCTCCATGGAGGTCTGTGGTCGGCATTCTTTTTCGTGTAGCAGCATGCCAGCCTGACATGAAATCGTTTGACGGATGCAACACCCAAGGTCAGGTTCGTGATATAAACGCCGAGAGCCAAGGCCCCTCGTGCTTTATTGCTTGGTAGATAGGGGAGTTCAAGGTCCAGGAGCAAAAGGCTTCTCGTGAACTTTTTCTGTCCGTATTTGGCAGCGGAAAACCTTCCAGGTGTTGAATTTACTTTCATTTTATTGAGAGGGCGTGTTGGTTTTTGGAAGTCTGTTATCATGGAAATAATGTGTAGATACCCAAGATAGTTATTGCACAAGATTTAACGGGAAAGTGAAACAAAACATGAGAATACAATCCTGGCAGCTGTCGGAGACTTGGGGCCAATTTTCCACACCTGCTGCTCTGCGTCTGCTGCCTCCAGAGGTCCCCTGTGTGGGCGTGCTGGGAACTGTAGGTGGGAGTGGGAGGGCTGCTGGGAACAAGGAGCTTGGATCCAGCTTGATGGACTGTGTGGTTTTAGGCTGAGCAGAGAAGAAATCTGGCCCATTGAGGGTCACCTTGGACCCTCAGTCTGTGACCAAGATGATGATGATGGTGCTGGTGGTGCTGGTGCTGGTGGTGCTGGTGGTGGTGGTGCTGGTGGTGGTGGTGGTGTTGGTGGTGCTGGTGTTGGTGGTGGTGGTGGTGATGAAGAAGAAGAAGAAGAATCCATGCATGCTTGTGATGGAGGTTGGAAAGGAGGACAGGTGGGGCCCCACATTATGAATTGTGGGGAGCAAAGGCCCCCATTTGCACACCTCAAGGAGGGTCCTGGCCACTGTCGCTGTGACTGCAGAGGCCAGCCGGGGGCCTGTGCTTAGGGATAGGAATCGGAATCCAGGAAGATTTGTTGGTCATCGCAGGGAGATTTGGGTCCACTTGGGGCCTGGATGATGTGACTCCACGATTTCTAAGTGTTGCCTCCTTCTGGCAGGCATGGCCCACGTTGGAACGTGTCTCATCAGATATTTTTCTCCTTTGAACTCAGTTTTCCTTTGAGTTCGATGCCCAGAGAGATCTGCTCTATGATATAATGTGCTGATTTCATTTGGTAGATCAGAGGTAGTTTCTAAAACCTGTAAGATAGAGAACAGACGTGCTCAGAGGGAGAAGGATTAAAGAAAGCTCTGTGCTTTGCAGGAGAAGTCAGGTGTCTCCCGGTGGCGGTGACGGTGTGCGGGTGGTGCAGGGGATGCTCCTCGATTGCTTCCCTCGGCGCTCTCCGTGTCCTTTCCTCCTGGAGATGAGAAGTCGGCCTCAGCCCCGCGGAGCTGCCCTGATGTGTGTGCCTTTCCTTTGCAGACGAGAAGAACATCCTGCATATTATGGTTAAAGTGGTGAAGGGCCACCGCCCGGAGCTGCCGCCCATCTGCAGATCCAGGCCACGCGCCTGCAGGAACCTCATGCGCCTCATGCAGAGGTGCTGGCACGGGGATCCGCGTGAACGACCCACCTTCCAAGGTGAGCGCCCCTCCGGGGGGGTCCCAGTCTCGGGGCTCCCTGGAACATTGCTGCTTGATTGTTCTGCTGGTGTCACAGGGGACAGAGTTGATAACCAAGATGGGGTTGGGGAGCGGGCCGGGATGGAGAAGGCTGTGCAGAGACAGCAGCACCAAGGTGAGCCCTGCATGGACAGGTTGGCACCTGCCTGTGGCCCTCCAACACTCAGCACTGGGATGGGGCGGCTGGACCTGCGTGGTCAGCTCCAGCCGTCCACCCCTGGCTCTGGGCCAGCGGAGCCCATACTTGGTTCGGGTTCAGATACAGCGATGCATCTTTTAGGTACTGGTGTGACCGCTGGCCTGAGGCTTTCTTTGCACTTCTCTTGGGGTCTTGTCCCCATGGAACGGATGTGTCGTTTGGTTAGGAAAGTGATCCTGGTGAAATTGAGGAAAGTGATCCTGGTGAAATTGAAGATGCTCACTGCATTTAACACACACGGGGAAACAGCATGAATGAGATGGGGGCCTTACGTGCTGGGTGCTAGCAGCCTGGCCATCTGGGGGACTCGCTCAGTTGGGTCTGGCAGACGGGGCTCCCCCGAGGACGGCTTCTTTGGGAAACTGGAACACTATGACTCCTGCTTGAGTCTGGCAGGACCTTGCAGATGGTTGCTGGTGGGAGGCCCCGATTGGCCCGTGCTGAGGCCCCGGGGGATTGCCTGTGCATTCAGCCGGGGGCCAGTAGTGTGGGAGTCACAGTGCCGAGCGAGTCCTCCGAGTCGTGGACACTGCGGGGTGTTGCGTCTTCTGTCCCCGAGCTTGCACGTTTCAGTAGAGCATATGCAGAAATCATTTTCTGAATGACGTGCCCTTTTTTGTTTTCTCCCCCAAAGAAATTACTTCTGAAACAGAGGACCTGTGTGAAAAACCTGACGAGGAGGTGAAAGAGACAACTCAGGATCTGGACGTGAAAAACCCACCGGAGCCCAGGATCGAGGTAATGGGGTCTGTCCTCAGGCGTCATTTTTGCTGCATTGGCCTCAGGGGTTGAGTTTTCCAGACCCCAGTCCTCTCCTTTCTGCAAACTCTCCTGCCAACCTAGACCCCTTGTCCCCTCTTCTGTGGCTTGGACGTGCCGTCTGAGCTCCATCCTGTGCCAGGCAGCCACGTGCTTGCTGCTTTGGCGAGCCAGTCACGGGAGTCCTGCGCTCAGTGGCAGGAGGGCAGGTCCCTTGGCCAGCCTCGGTGTCCCAGATTCATTTCCTGCCCGACTGCGTTCATCCCCACCCTGTCTGTGGTTGTGAATGAACAGTGTGGACCCAGCCTTGGCTTTAAAAAGCCATCATTTGGCTGCTCTTTGAGGCAGGGGAAGGGGAGGACCCTGCAGGGCCCAGTTCGGGGAAGGGGTCTGGGTTCTGAGGGTCTGGGGGTCTTTGCACTCATGGCCTGGCACTTTTTAACTGCTCATAAATGATTTGTTCCATGAGTGCCACACTGGTTAGTAAGATACGATAAGAAACTCCAAATGCTGGGTCTAACTCAGTGTCTTTAAGGTAATGAGACTCGTAAAATGAAGGCTGATAAACCAACTTCATAATGTGTGATCTGGTCCTGGGCGTTTATCCCGGGCTATCCGTGTAAGGCTGGGAGATAAGTAAACCTGGATGGTGTACCCACTGTCAGAACATAGAGGCGTGTGTGCCTGAGGTCGGGGAGCAAAGGTGCCTGGGGCAGGCGACCTGGCCCCCGATAAGGAAAAAGAAAGGCACGCAACGAGTGGGTGTGAGCCAGTGCACCAAGTTGGGGCAGATCAGCAGTTCCCAAGGAGAAGGCGGATTTGGGGACAAGCGGATGTGAATCGTGAAGAATGAGTTACCCACGGATTCTGATCCCTCACCAGAAATCCGCTTTTCTCATCAGCTGTTACGAGAGACCCTTGGAAAGGGCCCCGCTGGTACATGTTGGGTTGGAGCCCAGTGTTGTGTCTGTAGCTGGCCCCACCCCTCGTCCTTTCCACACGGCCCCCAAGCCAGACTCGCGTGGCTCAACAGAGGGCTCGCAGGTCGTTGGGGACCCAGCTCCTTCCTTTGTTTCTTACGGTGCCAGCCTATTCCGGGCGGACACCGCCAGCCCTCAGGTTTCATGCTTGGGCAGCATCTTCACATTCTGCCTTCCGTCCAGATGACGCTGTGTGCCCTGCCGCTGGGCAGATGGGGCCTGGGCAGCACGGTGCTGGACTTTCTGTTTTTATCAAGTCCACCTTGTCATCCAATGTCGTTCCCATTGGTGGACCCCCTGCGGCATCTTCGGGCTCCCTGGTGCCGTGCGCACGGTAACAGGAGTCGAATTCCCTGTATGGCGTACTGGGGCCCCACACGTTCCGCTTCCTTCCTCGCGTCCGCCTCCTTCCCCCGCCTCCCTGCTGTGTCGTGGACGGAGCCTCACCCACGGCCTGTGCTCGTCTTCACAGGCGCCCGTGCCCACGCCCCTCAAGCGAGCCTCCGCCCCGACCTTCGATGACGACTACAGCCTCTCCGAGCTCTTGTCTCAGCTGGACTCGGGCATCTCTCAGACCCTCGAGGGCCCGGAAGAACTCAGCCGCAGCTCCTCCGAGTCCAAGCTTCCCTCGGCCGGCAGCGGCAAGCGGCTCTCGGGCGTGTCTTCTGTGGACTCTGCCTTTTCCTCCAGGGGGTCGCTGTCTTTGTCCTTCGAGCGGGAACCCTCGACGGGTGGTGAGCGGGGACCCTGCACCTTGGGAAGGAATGAACTCCATTGTGGGGCTCGGGGGCGGGCAGGGTGTATGGTGTCCGTGAGCATCTGCAGAGGATCTGGCGTCCCGTGTCTTGACCTGAGAGTAATTCTTTGTTTTCTCCATCTCTTTGCTAATTGGTGTCAGTGGCATAGCTAATGCACTGAGCACAAATCCAGAGATGCATGGTGGCCGAGCAGCTCCGTGGGGTGTCTCTTAAGTGTAAGGGGAATGGGCCACGCACCTGGCTGTGCAGGAGGGTCTTACCTGTGGCAACACTGGGGGCAGGGTCCAACCTCAGGTCTGCAGATTGAAAACCCCAAGTTGCATCAAGTGAGCCCAGCGGATGAATGGAGCCCCGCACCCGGGATTTCTAATCCTATCTTCTTATGTTAATTTTGATGGGTTTTCTTTTTAGAAGGTGCTGTCTTCCCTTTCCCTGCCCCAGGTGCTGGTCCTTGGGTGTGGGGGCTGGTGCTTACGGTACCTCCTTGCTGCCGGCTTTGAGGATAAGATGTGGTCCTGTCCTGCCTCTCAGGGTGCCCACGGGGAAAATACAGATGCTCACACTCAGGGCCGCAGTGCAGGGGTGGCCGGGTGCCAGAGGGTCGTGGAAAGGGTGCAGACCCCAGGAGGAGGGGAGGTTTGTTTTTCCTGGGGAATCTGGGGATTCCTCCAGGAAGGGAGGACTTTTCCTGGATGCTGTGGGCCTCCTGGGATTTTTAGAGTGGAAAATTTGGGCTGAAAGAGGGCATTTCAGGTTGAAGCAACACCTTAAAAGGCCCTGGAGGGATGTCCCTGGGGTGGGAGCTGCCAGCTCTCAGGTGGACTAGGGCTAGTGCCTGGTCTGTGCTCTCCCTCCTTACTTCCCTCCCTTCCTGTTGGCAGTTACTGCCGTTTCTGAACCAGCAGGGCCCCGAGTTTTACACTCTTCATCTGATCACAACCCCACAGGATGGCTAGAATGATTTTTATTTTGCACATTGACAAAAGAGCACCTTGGAGACATTAATTGACCTGCCCAAGCTCTCCCCACTAGATCTAAGATAAATCAGCATGGACAGCACAGTCTTTAGCAGTTTCAGGTAAAAAGTGTCCTGGAGGCCGTGGGGAGGTGTGGGCCATGTTAGGACACCAGCCGGACCCAGGAGAAGCCTGGTCTGACCCCTGCGTCTGCTCTCCCCGCAGATCTCGGCGCGACAGACGTCCAGAAGAAGAAGCTCGTGGACGCCGTCGTGAACGGGGACACCAGCAGGCTGATGAAGATCCTGCAGCCCCAGGACGTCGACCTGGTTTTGGAGGGCGGTGCCAGCCTGCTGCACCTGGCCGTGGAGGCCGGGCAGGAGGAGTGTGTGAAGTGGCTTCTCCTGAATAACGCCAACCCGAACCTGACCAACAGGAGGGGCTCGACCCCCCTGCACGTGGCCGTGGAGAAGAGGGTGCGGGGTGTCGTGGAGCTCCTGCTGTCCCGGAAGATCAGTGTCAACGCCACGGATGAGGACCAGTGGACGGCCCTCCACTTTGCAGCCCAGAATGGGGACGAGTGCAGCACGCGGCTGCTCCTGGAGAAGAATGCCTCCATCAACGAGGTGGACTTCGAGGGCCGGACGCCCATGCACGTGGCCTGCCAGCACGGGCAGGAGAGCATCGTGCGCATCCTGCTGCGCCGAGGTGTCGACGCAGGCCTGCAGGGGAAGGACGCCTGGGTGCCGCTGCACTACGCCGCCTGGCAGGGCCACCTGCCCATCGTCAAGCTGCTGGCGAAGCAGCCGGGGGTGAGCGTGAACGCCCAGACGCTGGACGGGAGGACGCCGCTGCACCTGGCCGCCCAGCGGGGTCACTACCGCGTGGCCCGCATCCTCATTGACCTGCGCTCCGACGTCAACGTCGGCAACCTGCTGGCGCAGACGCCCCTGCACGTCGCCGCAGAGACGGGCCACACGAGCACTGCCAGGCTGCTCCTGCATCGGGGTGCCAGCAGGGAGGCGGTGACCGCAGAGGGCTGCACCGCCCTTCACCTGGCTTCCCGGAATGGGCACCTGGCGACCGTCAAGCTGCTCGTGGAGGAGAAGGCCGACGTGCTGGCCCGGGGGCCCCGGAACCAGACGGCGCTGCACCTGGCCGCCGCCAGCGGCCACGCGGAGGTAGTGGAGGAGTTGGTCACTGCCGATGTGCTCGACCTGGCCGACGAGCAGGGGCTCAGCGCGCTGCACCTGGCCGCCCAGGGCAGGCACACCAAGACAGTGGAGACGCTGCTTAAACACGGGGCCCACGTCAACCTGCAGAGCCTCAAGTTCCAGGGCGGGCACAGCCCGACCGCCACGCTCCTCCGGCGAAACAAGACCTAGCCTGCTGCCCGTGGAGACCGGGACCCCTGCGGGGTTCTTGTGTCATCCGTGTGTTTCGCTGCGGGGACGGAATGACGCCACACTGGTCGGCTTCGCTCGCCATGTCGGTGGCCTGGCAGAACACTGACCAAGCGGGCCGTCAAGAGGCAGGTGGCGGCTGACTCGTGCTTCGTGCCGGGCATCTGTGTGGGCGTGTTACCCTCTGAGTGAAGTCGGTTAGAATGTGCTTGACGCATCCGCCCATCAGGGCGCCCGGTGTCAGAGGGACGATGGGTCAGACTCATTTTGTTGGGCTCCTCGCTCCTCATGTTGGCCTCTCGGTGACAAAGCCGTGGGCAGGGTGGGTCTGCCTTGTCCTGAGCCGAGCCCCCATGATTGCTCGGAGCAGCCGCCGGGGAAGCGGTGTGGGACAAGCTGTCCTTTATCTTCGTGTGCGGTGGCAGGCAACGCAGCCTGTTTCAGAAAGTTTAGTGGGATTCTTGTTTTCATAGAATATCTCTACTAGGTGGACACCATATCAGCTGTTGCTTTAAACCTGTTAAAAATGTTCCTGTCATTGGATAGTCTAGTCTGTGAGGAATGAGTGTAAAGTAATAAGGTTGGTTTTTGAAACAAAAACAGTAATCTTACCAGCTCTTATATATCCAAATTCGGCCTTCAGTCAGTCGTCACGGGTGCCACACACGTAGCCCGACCGTGCTTCTTGCTCTCGGTCATTTCTTATGGCATAAAACGTATTTTGAACGCTAGAGCCAAGAACCTCCGTTTTGGACTAAAAACAGTGTTACCGAGGTGGATGAACTGCCTTCCTCATCAGTTTCTTTCCGGCTCTGATTTATGGTCAGCGGGTTGTCTGTGCTGGGTGCCACTGTCTTGTGGTCTCAGCGGGATTTTCTGATGCGCTGTACAAAGGGCTACGCCGTGCAGGAGTCCCCCAGGGCGGCTCTCGGAGACCACTGCCCACTCCTGGATGTAAAAGATGGGATTATCTGGCCTCATTCCTTGTTGTCATGTGTGTCCCACATGGTGACCGCCCCCACCCTGGACACTGTTGTTTGACTGAGTTTACTGCAAGCCAACATGCCCTGTGGCCTGGCGTCTGATGCCGAGATTGATATTAACATACCGTGTATGTTAATGCGAATCTGTGGGCAGGATACCTCTTTTCTATGATAGGAAATACCCAGAGTGCTTAGAAGTGGCTATGTTTTAATATGCCTCATGCTTTTACCAACTTGTGCTGCTGTTATATAGAACGTGTGGAAGAAAAAAAAGTTTTGTTTGATGTCAATAAAGCAAAGTACTCTTCTACTTTTTTGAAGTTAGTGAGACTACTTTTTCATATAAATGAGCTCGAATCATCTGATTTCTGAAAACCAGAGGTTTGAGGCGGACATCCGTGGTGTAGAGATGCCCTTCAGAAGGGCAGTTCGTGCATGCGGAATTAACCCGTGATGTGGGGGGACGAAAGAGGTGGCAGTGTGGACCTGGGCTTCCTACCTCCTTAGCCTGGGCCCTTCCACACTGTGAACCAGCAGAGAGCTGATCTAGTTTTGGTGAAGAAGCTCCCCAACTCAAGGTTTTTGTTTCTTTCTAAGTGTTTATAATTCTTATTTTCATTTGTTAACTTTATGTTTTGAAATAATTTCAAATTATGGAAAAGTTATAAGAATGGTCTATAGAACTCTGGTGTATCCTTCACCTAGTTTTCTCATTTTTTTACATTTTATTGGCCTGATCGTTCTTTTTTCTTTCTCATCTCCCACGTATCCATCTACCTGTCTACCCACCCACCACGCACCCATTCATCCACCCACCCACCCACTCATCCATTTAACCACCCATCCACCCATTCATCCATCCAACCATCCATCCACCTGTTTACCCACCCACCACCCACCCATCCATCCACCCACCTACTCATCCATCTACCCACCCATCCACCCCTCCATCCATCCATCCATCCAACCATCCATCCTCCTGTCTACCCACCCACCCATCCGTCTACCCACCCATCCGTCTACCCACCCATCCACCCACCCGACCATCCATCCACCCATCCATCCATCCATCCATCCATCCCTCCATCCATCCCTCCATCCATCCCTCCATCCACCCACCCACCGACCCACTCATCCGTCTATTCATCCATCCATCCATCCAGTCACCACCTACCCACTCACCCACTTATCTACTCATCCATCCATCCATTCATCCATCCACCTCTCTACCCACTCATCCATCCGTCCACCCACCTACCCACTCACCCACTTATCTACTCGTCCATCCATCCACCTATCCACCCATCTACCCATTCATCCGTCTGAGTAGGTTTCAGATAGTGTGCTCCCTGACCCCTAAATACTCTAGTGTATTTCCTAAAAACAAGGACTTTCTCCTATATAGCCCCTCAAAATCAGGAAATTAACATTGATACAATTCTACCATCTAATCTACAAATCCTTTTCAAGGGTTTTCTGATTGTCTCAAAAGTGTCCTTTATAGAAAAAGCAACAATCGACAGCAGCAACAAGGGGCTCTTCCTTCCACCTCTTGGGCCCGGGCCCCACTGTATTCTGTTGCCGTGGCCCTCCAGTCTTCAGTCCTCTGATCCTCAGTCTTGTCTTTCATGACCTTGCCTTTTCGGGAAGTACAACCAGTTACTTTGTAGAATGTCCTCAATTTAGGCTTGTCTTAATTCTGCTCAGGATTTGATTTAGATTGTGTGTTTTGGGCAGAAATGCCACAGATATGATATTGCATATAAAGTATAGCTTAATTTTTTATTTATATCAGTATGCAGTCATGGAGTCCTATTTGATCCATAGGTTCTACTCCATTGTTACCATTTATTTTGATCTTCAAATTATCTGTGATTTGGCCAGTTCCAGTGCCTTCACGCTGGAGCTTGTGTCCCTTTGATGCATCTCCAGCCTTCTTTGAGCACATCTTGCTTTCTGACACAATGAGATGTTCCAGGCTCATCTTTTACTTCCCCCTACCCCATCCTCAGAAGCAGCCATTTCTCCAAGGAAATCGATTTCTTTAGTGGAGAATGGTATTTAGAAACCAAGATCTGGGCATTAGGTGTGCTCATTGTTCCTGGGGTGTCATCACTTCTAGGCTCTCTCAGCAGACAGATCTAGGGCAAGAGTGTGTGTGTAAGTTGCATGTATATACACATATCTGTATCTTATTAACCATGATTTTGCACCAATGCCTTCAATTAGAATCCAGCATCCCAAGGTTTATTCTAGCTTATCCATATTGTATCTACTTCCTCTGACAATCATCTTCAACATATGTGCACATTTGCTCAATCCCATGTGTATAGTGACTCTCTCTGCCACGCTGGCTGCTGCCTCAGCCTATGTCCCTTTACATGGGCTGAGCCAGCTGGGTTCCTGCCAGCCTTGTGCCCAGCAGTGCACCAGCCTGTGGAATGGCAATTCATTTTAAAAGCCTTTTGTGCCAGGAATCACGACCTGTGGACTTTTTCTTACTAAGACTCTGCCATTTGGCTTAACTTTCCTTTTTTTCCATTAGGTACCTCCATCGTTTCCCTTCCTGTCTTGAGATAGGTTAACAATGTTACATTTTTCCTTCTTCTCAGAAAATTTGGGTGTTTTTTTCCCTTTTCCCTCTGATCCCTATATCATGCTTTTTCACTCAGGAGCATCTTCTGGTTTTGAGGACTAGACGACCTTTTCTCTTAGACTTTCCACTTTAGGAAAAAACTGCCCCTTTGTTCCTGGGAGGAAACAAAAGTGAGTCTTAAACTTCCTGTGCTCTGCTGTTGCTCTGGGGCTGAGGGTCCTTTAGGACACCTCCAGCCAGTGCCTCCAGGTCCCTATCCCCGGGCATCAGAGAGGCATGCCAGCCTTTCTTTAGCAGCCGTGAGATGTGGAGATGGTAGGTTCTAGAACAGAAGTGATTCTCCTTAGCTGGAGCAAGTGGGGGCACAGGGCAGCACCCTCGAGCACTGACATCTGGGTCCACAGATAATCTGCTCACTGCGATCTTCCCAGCAGCCTGGGAGGAGGTCAGAACCAGGGGGAATGCAGCGCCAAACGTTCCCCTGTTACTGACGGGGATACTCAGGTTGGGGACCACCCAGCAAATTCTGCTAGCAGAGGTCTCATCCCCAGCCTCAGATTCAGTCCTTCCGCTGTTCAGACTCCACACCCCTGGGCATGGAGAACCCACGTCCGTGTAACTTTCTTACGCCCATCTCTCCTCACATCCAGCCAATTGAAAGCTGCGGCCCCCTGGGCTCAGGTGCCTCATGACTTTATTGTCTGTCAGCAACTCCCCCTTACAGACACACGCCTGAAGCCATGCTCTCTGAGAGCAGAGAGCTTGGACGCCTGACAGTCAATGGCGTGTCCCTTCTGGTTCCACAGTTTCACGATTGTAGATTTCCTACAAATCTTAGGAAATGTTGGGCCCCGGTGCAGGGTCCTGAAGTTCCTGTTGGGCAGAGGCAGCAGCCAGTCAGCCTCCTGGTGCTGTCACCGTGACAGCTGGTGGCACACGTCCTTGTGTACCTGAGGGCTTCCTTAGCAAACAGCTGGCTTACCACCCAACCACTCCCCTCCCCAGCACCCAGGAGCCAAGAGTCGCCATCATCTTCCAGGTCATGCAACCGGATTCCAGTTCTCCGGTGCCTGTGTCTGCCAGAGGCATTTCACTGTGCCAAGCTTTAGCTACTTATTTCAAAAGCGTGGGTGTGGCGGGCGGTGTTATTAAGGCCTCCTGTTGACACTGCAGCAGAAAGGGAGCTGGCATTTGCAGAAGTGGACATTCGGAGGAGAGAGAATCCTTGCCCCTAAGCTTACACTGTGGGGGCCAGTTCTTGAAAACATAAACCCTTAACCCTGCACAAGATTTCTTCACCAATCACCTACCCCCCTTCCTCCCGTACTTCCTTCCATCCTTCTTCCTTCCTGCCTCTCTCCCCCATCCCTCCCTTCCTTTATAATTAATTGTCACGTGAAGTCAGAAGTTCAGAACTGCACCACACGAGGCCTTGCACCGACGTTCTCAGGTGCTGGATCTCCAGGCCTTCT